AACCAGCCTGGAAATGGCCAAAACCCCTCTAATACCAGACTGGTCAACCAGCTAAAACCAGCCAACCTATGCTGGTTTAAGCTGTTTATTTTTCAGCAGGGCTGTGACAATAAAACATACTAGTGGCAATTTTTTTTTTATTTAAAAAAGAGGGAGGAGCTAATCCATGTCCCACCCTGTCTTCATGTTTCAGTTCAAATTATGTCACTCATTAAACAAAAATTAACATTTCAAAGCACTTCACATGACCTTTAATGTGCACTTTGAAGTATTACATGCAAAACGAATAATGGAAACGCCAAAATTTGAATAAAAATCCTTTAATTTCCAAAAAAAAAAGAAGTTTTTTTTGGCTCACTTGAGGACCCAAAATGGACCCAAAATGGTTAATCCGAATAATAGGCGATGGAAATGCATTTGACAAATAAAGTAATGTAGCGAACATTGTTTTCATTATGCTTCAATTGTTTACTGTTGGTTACTAAGTTACCAATCCCACAGTTGGCCACTCTAACAACTTGATGAAAATGCACATAATGCACATTTAGGACAGAATAATATGGATTTTTTTTAAACTTTGAAAGACACAATTCACGTTAGGATGGGATCCCGGCTAGTGAAGAATGTTTTTAAAAAATGAGTACAATAAAGTGACATTTTGTCTTCACAAGCCCACAAAAATAAAAATAAGCATTTTTGAAGCAATATTAAAGATGCATTATTGATTATTACTGTACTGTAGAGAAAACAATCAATAAGGAGTTTTGAGCGTGACAATGTCATATTAAAATATAGCGTTATTTTCCTGATGGATAAAAATAAAGCGCAAAGTCAAATGTATATTTTACTCTGTTCTAACTATTTATCTGATTTAAAATGCTTGGTTCCAGGACATATTGACTAGAGGTTCCCCAAAAAAAGAAGTGCAAACTATGATTTGTAAAGCATTCGTCATGTGTGGCCAAAGATATCAAGCAAAGATAAGACAGTCTATACCTGGCCTGCAGCTCCAGTGTTCGTTCTTTTCCAGAAACCTGAAAGGTGTGAGGATAGTCCTCATTGAAGGTCTCTTTCACATTCATGCCTTCAATGCCGATACGTGTGCGCACAGTGAACTTCTGTCCCACAAGGCTGAACTTGGGAACGCAGTACAGCAGCATGTTGTTGAACTGTAGGAATAAATGAATGGAGATTCAGGATGATAAACAGACTGTTTATTTAAAGCTATATATTCAAAGTACTGAAATAATCATCAGAACAGGCAATGGTTACCAGGAAGAGATATCTGTCCATGGCTGAAGTGTTTCTGGCTGCCAGTTTCAGAATGTGACCCTCCTTTATTAACTCATTCGAGGGGTTTACAATGTCCTCCTCTTCTCCCAGCATCTCATAAATCTCCAGCAGCTTCTTCAGGTTTTCCTGAGAGAAGTTACCGGAGGAAAGTTTTCTATCAATAAATTATAACTATTTTCTAAGTGCATGTCAAAGATTTTAATGTAGTAACTTAAATAAATACCAGTAAATACTTTATGTGTAAAACAAGGACATAATGAGACACAATCTGTAGTATTAGCTGTACAGCATTAAGAAAAAAAAGGAATCACTCACTGTTTTCCGAATGGCAGTGTTGGAATGAGTGGCGGCCATGCCAATAATCTCTAATGACTCTGAAAACACACAAGTTTCTTATTTAGAAGAGGTCTTGTTTAAAGTCTGTTTATAGGACGCTGCTCACTGAACTCACTTTCAGCGTCCCGCCGGTCCATGTGCTCTGGAGGGAGTTTCTTCAGATAGTCTTTAAGCAGCATCTCGTATCGTGGCACTCTCTGAACCGGCTCCAACATGTGGTGCTGCAGCGTCAGATTGCCACACACTTCCTGACTCTGAACACAAAAACACACACACGTCACTCTACATGCACTTAAGAATGTTTCGGTCAATGCTTTTCAGTGTTTGGACCCTCAGTATTGAATATTAAACCACACAGAACTGAACTTAAACTCTAAAAACTGAACTGACACTGTTTATTTTACTATAATCTTCTATGTGAAGCTGCTTTGACACAATCTACATTGTAAAAGTGCTATAGAAATAAGGGTGAATTGAATTAAATTAAATTCAACCCTACAAAAAAAAAAAACACCCAAAACTAAAACTGATCAATCTAAACATTCGAAATCTGTATATGATTTTTATATTCAAGGTCTGTTTGGACCCACCTGTTTCACACCGCAAGTGCAAGCACAGCGTGCGCAGCGCGTATGAAGAGAAGAAGCAGCGCGCAGGTGTTTGCCTTTCACACCGACTGCGTCTGCAGCGTGCAGCTTATCGGCAGCTGCTGCACAGATTATTCTATCTCAGTCTATTCTATCTAGTTACCTATCTATCCATAATACACTTTTTTTTTTTTTTACTTTCATCTGTACCAAGCCCTGCGGCAACTTCCTCCTATGCTGTTTCCTTAACCTGCAATTCTTCATTTTATAAATTATATAGATCCTAAAAAACTGTATGCTTCTCACGCTCTGAGTGCCATTTATGTCTTTTCAGGTGCACTCGGCCAGAAGACAATCGCCTGTGGTACCATGTAATTTTGTTTTTGATTGTCAGGATGATGTAGGCCAATAGATATAATAATATTTATACAATATAGTAATACTGATATTTATACATGATCAAACTAGTGTGCAATTTAAGCTAAACTAATAATAAAACTGTTTAAATTTTGTTTTGTAGTTCAGGCCCAAATACATATTTATAGCTGTTTTTAATCGTTTAAGTTCATTTGATTGACTATAAAAAAACAAGTGGATATTATTGATGAATTAATTGGGTAAAATTGCTACTTTTACTATCAATCAGCTTCAGTAAAGCTAACGCCTCGCGCTGATACTCTGCTTCTGCGTCCAGTATGAAAGCTCTAATCCAGTGGTTCTCAAACTGTGGTACGTGTACCACTAGTGGTACGCAGGCTTCCTTCTAGTGGTACGCGGAGGAATGAAATATGTCATATACATGCTACACACATTTCAAAATTTATCAAAAATGATGTATAAAATGACATATATGACATATAGCCTCTATTTCTAAGGTAATCTGCCACGTTTTTTTAACTGTGCAGAGTTGTAGCTGCTTTACTGGCCCTACTACGCTACTGTATTTCAATACTGCTCATTTTGGTGGTACTTGGAGAGATAATTTTATTCTGAGGTGGTACTTGATGAAAAAAGTTTGAGAACCACTGCTTTAATCTATTAAGATGGACGCTAAAAAAACGTGTGAAACCGGCTTAAAGAATCATTGTTTTTAAAAGTTTTAACTGTTACAATGTTTTACCATGTTATTAATGCACACATCCCCTTTAGATTAATTAAACATTTTTAAAAACATTCGAAATTACATATGAACAAGGACAAAAAAAACTTTTTTGTAACTATTTTTAATTTTGATCAGAAATCTTAATTGAATATGACATGAATAAACCATATAATTATTAATACAATTTGTTTTAACTTTCACTTTTAGATCATATAAAAAATAAAACAAGGTTTAAATCTGCTCTAAAGTAAGTGTATCATTCTTATCATTGATATGTTCATTCATTCATTTTCCTATGGTTGAGGCCCTTATTTATCAGGGGTCACCACAGCGGAATGAACCGCCAGTGATTTCGGCATATGTTTTATGCAGCAGTTGCCTTTCCAGCTGCAACCCATTACTGGGGAAATCCCTGACATGTCGATCCAAACAATTAAGTGTGTGTGAGATGTTGTGAAATGGCAAAAACTAATTTCAAAAAAATAATATAACAAACATAACTTAAAAATAGTATAAATTAAACCTTTTTGTCACCTCACAACAAATATTATTATGCATTTTAGTCTTGTTTGAATAACTAAAATGTATTATGAGTAATCATGAATGCATAAAAGAAAGAAAGAATTAATGGCTGATATTATAAATATCATAAATATTGATGTTTTTAAAGAACAATTATTTTGGCAGTTGGGAGCCCTAATAATTTGTAAAACAAAATGCCTACATTTCAACATTTAATTACCACCAACACTGTATTTAATATAACTTTATTAGATTTATTTTTCTTCTGGCATTCTAATGGCCACCTAACTTTGCTATTTAAAAGAACTCTTTTCAAGAATAGCAATCTGCATCAGTGTTCACCTGTATATCCAGAATGATAGCTTTAAATGGAGGCGAGCGATCTATCCACTGCTTCAGCAGATCCATGGCATGATCAAAGTTCCTCACATACTCTGCATACATCTTCAAGAAGGGCGTGAGCTTCTGTAGGATGTCTCCAATGCGAGGTGTCGACGTCCTGGAGGTAAATTTCAGAGCATTAAGACCATTAATTAAACCAAACACTCAATCTACAACTCGAGTGTGTGAAAATCTCACCATTCTCCCATCCGTTTTTCCAGGTCAGGCAGAAGGAACTGGCTGTGGAAGGCATTAATGGAGGTGATGTTGGAAAATATGCTTTTCACCACATCCACAGGGAACGTGTCTTTTCTTGCCTCTTCCATGAGCTTGGTGTAAAACACCTGCAAAAGAGGGCCGAAATCAGATGATGCATGATGTGTCTGCATGCTACTATTTTTAAAGAGTCCAAGTATGGAGTTAAGAAAACAGTGTCAATAGTGACACCAGTGGCTACTAAGTGAACTGCAGTCAGCATTGTACATTTTTCACATTTGTATACTTGTTGTTTAGTTCTTTGTAATGATTTAATTTCGGATTACATAAGAAACTTGAAATATACTCATAAACAGCAATATACTTATGAACAACATTCAGACGCTTGTTAAAAGAGGCATTTAGATGAATATATAAAATATTGCTGTGCAAAAACAGCAGTTAGGAAAGAATGTGATTGTGTAGACATGATTGAATTTCTGCAGAATTATTTTTAGTTACATATCATAACTAAAACCTTAATATGTAAAATAAAAAATAATATCTTTTTAACTTTTATTTAATGTTTACAATGCAAATCCAATTAGATCCACTTTATTTGGTAAACAAAGCAAGTCTCTCTACTAGAAACATAAAATATAAATATTACTGTACAAACTGCACAGTACATAAATCATAATAGTCAATAATATTACTGTAATTAATAAAAAAACTGAATAAATATAGATTTACTCAAGTAAATAAACTGAATTAATGATGGGCTAAAAATCTGCAGAAATCTGCGGAATTCTGGGCACGCAGATTCCGTGTGGGCCTACATGACTAAACAAAGGGCACCAATGTAAGCGTGTAAAAGTGTAATTTTGTAAAATGCTTTTAATTTTTGCACTGCTCTGTTTTTTTTTTTTTTGGTTTGACGTGACACATTAAAAACTAATCGACCAATGAGATTGGTACTTTTGTTTCCATGCCTGGATCTGATGACGTTCAGATTAGTAAATGCGACTTGGTGGCACTCAAGCACAAATTGTCTAACCAAGTCCATTTTCCTAACAACAAATAAGATGCATTGAGGAATTGCAAATCAAATATGATTCAATGGAGAGTATTATTTTACTTAATTAAGCCTCATCTATCATAAGCAGGGCTGGATTAACCAATAGGCATTATGGGCACAGGCCCAGGGACCCACGCACACTTTGGGCCCCTGTGTGTGTGGGGGGATGCACATTTTGGGGTGTATATTTAGGCTAAGTGCAATTATGCAATTATTTGACCAGGTCTCACTGGAAGAAGAGACAGTACTGTCTCAATGTGATCTCCTGGCTAAATAAAGGCAATAAATATGCATTATAAAATTGTAGAAGTTCTACTTTAAAAATACCCTTAAATATACATTTTTAGTTCTGCTTCAGTGAATGTGAACAAGTATATTAAAATCAATTAATTTTCACTGGTTGTATTAGGGCGAGGCAGTGGCGCAGTAGGTAGTACTGTCGCCTCACAGCAAGAATGTCGCTGGGTTGCTGGTTCAAACCTTGGCTTAGCTGGCGTTTCTGTGTGGAGTTTGCATGTTCTCCCTGCCTTCGCGTTGGTTTCCTCCGGGTGCTCCGGTTTCCCCCACAGTCCAAAGACATGCGGTACAGGTGAATTGTGTAGGCTAAATTGTCCGAAGTGTATGTGTGTGAATGGAAGTGTTTGGGTGTTTTATTTTAAAAATGTGGGCAATACATTATAGATTATGTTTAAAAAATATATATTATATTAGTCTTATTTTTAATTTTAACTATGGATGCGGCCAGGTAGGGGGCCTACAGGACATTGTGCCCAGGGGCCTTTGAATTCTTAATCCGTGCCTGAACATAAGGGATTTTGCATGTTCACTCTGCTCAACGGCAGAGAAAATCGCTTGGGTGGGAATGCTAAAAATGTCTCGAAAACTGCTGATGGCAAGCATGAGCAAAATTCATCCCGATGTGCATGAGCCTTTACTGATAAACAGTGTTCTAGTACTGGTTTAGTATTAAATTCTCCAACAACAACAAAAACTAAACAAAATGATGACTTACCTTATCTAATAAGTTCAGTCGTGCAACGTAGGCCTTCTCTGTCTGCAGAAGTTCATTTGCAATTTTGTAGAGTTTCTGCTCGTTGGTTTCCTAAAGAAAAAATGTCAAACTTTAACTCTTCAATGTTGTATCAGATGCACAGGAAAAAGTTTAATCCACTTTGTTTATTTTGAGTTTGATTTTTTTTATTGATCTTTTAAAATTGATATTTTAATTGAATTAACAGCATCATTAATATTCATTAATATAAAAAATTTAATTAAATTAGCAAAAATAATAAAAATGTTCTGATTAATCCTGAAAGAAAAGTATATATGAAGAGATCAGATGCAAAAAACCTTTAAGTGCCATCTGAGATTTTCTTCTAAAATTAGCATTTTTTCCTAGGCTACTATTTGCATGTTCAGTAATTTCACTTGTATGTTATTTTTATGGCCTTTAACATGAAATACCTGAACATAAAAACAAGAGGTTGAGTAAAATGCTCATTTTAGAACAACATTTCAGATGGCACTTAGAGGTTTTTGCATCTGAACTCATATAGCGGTTTCCCCAAAATATGAACAAAATAGTTTTTGCATTGGTAATAAGAAGATCTATTATTAATGATGGCCAGCAAATAATAAGTCATATTTAAAAGAAGCACAAAATCAAAATGATTTATGAAAGATTGTGTGTCAATTAAAACTAGAGTAATAATGCTGAAAATTCAGCTTTGAATCACGGGACAGCTGAGGAATCTTAGAAATTAAGTCCTTAAATATACACACCCAAAGCAGTTATTTTAAATTAAAACATTATTAAACAATGCTATTGTTTACATTGCATTATTGATCAAATAAACGCAGCTGTGGATGAGATCTGTCCAAACCATTAACAAACCTTAATGCTTTCAAACTTGTATACCCTATAATAGTGACTCAAAGTTTTCAAACTTTTCCCTCAGCAACTCTTCAAGTCTCTCGAGCTCGCTTTAACTTAAATTATTAAAGGCATTTGTGTTAAATTTTGCTGAGGGTGAACTAACACTGTAGATGTCCCCAGCTCAGCAGCTCACATGGCCAAAGGGAAACCGAGCTCTGAACATAAAGGTCAAGAGCAAAGCCATTGAGAGGTGGATTCCCAACCCCACCTACATTCCTCACTTCTCCATCCCATTCTTCGCTTCGTTCTCTCCATCACACCCATACGCCATGAAACATCCACTGGCACACACTGTTGACACTAAAATTGCCAGACGTTGTTGTTGTACGCCTAAAAATTCCCCCATGCACATGACTACAGATTTGAAATAACAAAAAAAAAAAATTATTCAAAGATGATTCCTTGAATTTACAAAAATAATGTAAATTTATTTGGGCTAAATTTAAACAAACAAATTAAGTTCAAAATTTACTACATTTATTTGTTTGTTTGAATTCAACCTATAAAAATTTTTGCAAATTGTTTCCAATTTTTTCAGTGTATGTCAATATATTATGTTACCATTTATGTGAAGCTGCTTTGACACAATCTACATTGTAAAAGCGCTATACAAATAAAGCTGAATTGAATTGAATTGAATTGAATGTCACGGTCTCCACAAAGTAATATCTAGAGTCATAAAAATTATTGTATTTGGTCATCAACAATGATGCTGAGGCGACAAAGGACACAGCATTCACCTTCACATATAATGTATTTGATATGGATCTGGCCTTCATAAATCTCTTTTTTATTCATCGATTTAAAATCTAATTACCGCTAGTGAGTTAAATTCACTGCTTATGGACAGAAACTGAATAAAGTTCTGCTAATGAATAGTTTTCGTGTTTTGTCATTCACAAGTGTTTTCTGTTTATTTACGGTTGTGAATTGCTTTATGGGAGCTTGATCTCTGCTTTGTCGACTTTTGATGTTGAAAAATCAACTAACAAAGTGACTTTTATTGACATTTTAGTAGTTTGAAATAATATAAATGTATAAGAAATAATGTACAGAGAAATAAGTCTGTGAAATTACAGAAAATGTTCTGGCAGTTTATTACAAGGTTTTTGTACCGTAAAAAAAACAACAACCCAGACAATACGTCATTTTAAACGATTAAAAATGTTAATAAAAGTCACTTTTTTCAAACTTTTGTAGGTTAAAAGTTGTTGGAAGAATGATTTAGGTCCCATAAAGCAATTCAAAAGCATAAATAAACGGGAAAATATTATATATATATAAAATGTGTGAATGAGTGCGTAAGGTTGTTTCCCAGTCTTGAGTTGCAGCTGGAAGGGTATCTACTGTGTAAAAAAACCTATGCTGGATTAGTTGGCAGTTCATTCCGCTGTGGCGACCCCTGATGAATAAAGGAACTAAGCCAAAAAGAAAATGACTGAATGATCTAAAATTTGGTCAATTCAAAAGAACCGTCTCATAAGAACAAATTAAGATAAGGTAGTGCTACAAATATTCCATATTACTACTGAAAATTGGGTGAGAGTTATGTTTGGCTTTGTGCTTCATTTTAACCTGGCATGATAATAGTGGTTCACTCGGTATTAGTGACATTAGTGACATCACAAGCAAATCTGTGGCCAAAACTCTTCTGAGTTGTTGCTGCAGATTATTTTTACTTTGTATTCCCTACAGTACAGTAATATCCATTAAATGCTTGTAATATTGCTGCATACACTTTAAGAGTTATTCATGGTCTGCTGAAAGTCATTCGTTAATTGTAATGTTTACTTTTAATATTGGAAAGATGAATTAGGGAGACAATAATGTCACCTGATTGTACCTTGGTTTTATTTTTTTAAACACTTCACTGATTGCTAATGCTTACGGTTTAACAGAAGTTGCTCCTATTAATCACATAAATCATCATGGGCCATAAGGAAAAGGTGGATACTATAGGTATAAAAGCCCCAATTGTAATCTTTTTATTTAAAGAAACTTTAAAAAATAAATGTACAAAGTTTTTACTCATTTTATAAGTCATCTAGAGTTAAACAGTTGAGTTTTATCATTTTTGATTTAATTCAGCTTATATCAACAGGTCTAGCAAAAGCACTCTTAGGGCATACTCACACTATGAACAGTTGCCTTGAACCAGGCCGAAGCATGCTTGTCCCCCCTCTCGTCTCCCCCGACAGCCCGCACTCACATTGCATTCGAGCCTGAGCATGCTTACGTCATCAATGATATACTGTTCAGTTTAAGAAGCGCTCTCACTCAGCACAGTGGACATTGCTTTAGTTATATCATTTTAATTGTTTGGGATGCGGTGACAAGCATTTAAATATTTCGCCAAACAGATCAGCCAGCTTTGATGCTTATAAACAATCATAAAGTCCTCGTGCTGAAGGAATTAGGAGGTTTGCTGAAGGTGCAGCTCGTGCAGTGAGGGGTTTGCTTCTTTAATAATGTACGACAGTTTGCGTTCATTGAAAAGTAAGAATTATTATTAAATCCATTTGAAACCGTTCCTTAAAAGTCACGTCTTGTCTTCAGTTTCGGGCTCAGGCACGCTTTGCACTCATATTACAAGTGAACCCAAGTGAACCGTGCTCTGGTACACCTCATCCAACCAGGCAAGTGCTGGCCAACTGAACCGCACCTGAGCCCGATTCAGAGAACTCACACTTCTCATACGATATGGGAAACGGGCCTGGGCATGGTTCAGATAGCATAGTGTGAGTGCGCCCTTAGCTTAGCATAAATCATCGAATCAGATTAGACCATTAGCATTTCGCTCAAATCTATTTTTTAATTATTACGCTGCAATGTTAATTACCAAACTGGGGACTTTTTTCTGACACTGCGTAATACCATTGCACCTGCTGCAGCCATGGTACAGCAGCAAAGTTCCTGGATTATTATGTCAGGAATGAGAGTAACTACAGAAGAGTCAAACTTTACACAGGAAAAATATCAAATCACTTTTTTGATTTTTTATTTTTTTTGTTTTTTTTTAGCGAGATGCTAATGGTCTAATCTGATTTAATGACTTGCTCCTGCCATACCTGGAGATTGGATCATTTAATTAAAAAATAGTAAGAGTGTAGTGTTCTTGCAAACGATTTAAACAACAGCGACTTGAATAAAACAATTTAGGCAAAAGTCAATAACTGGGAGACCTGGATAATTTATTCAAAATCTGTTATGTACATTTGAAAAGTAGCTAAACTTGACCCTGTTCTAGTGTTAAAGAAACTTCCTGATGAACAGAGCACGAACAGCACTGCTCTCTTTCTGTCAGCACTTTGAGAACACACAGTCTATCTGGTCTTATCACAATCTACAACCTAAGCTCACATAAATAACCTTTGAACTATTTAGAGGACACCACTTAGCTGATGAAAGGAACTAACTTACAATATATCCAGCTTTTGGCACAGTTGACTGCAATTCAAAAAGAAGCTCGATGTTTAGACGTGCTTCAGAGGATGAGAAATAAAGGATTGATAAGAGGAAAAGAGTAAAGGCAGTAAAAGAGGGCCTGGCGTTGACAGACAACTGGAGGTCCATGTTCTGGATGAAGTAGAAGTTATAAATATATTTATATCCAACATTTAATATGAAGTTTTGTATTAAATGATAACCTAAATAACAAAAATAATAGTACTATAACTATTTAAAATAACACAACTGCAAATATGGAAAATACATAAAAAAAAAATTACCAAATAATAAGATGTTGAGATGATTTCTTTTTTAAACACTACAGCATACTTTTACTGTAACAACTGTTCCAACAACATAACGACAAATGTTCCCAAACTATCATTAAACACATTCATTTATTCATGCATTTTCTTTTCAGCTTAGTCCCTACATTTATCTGGGGTCGCCACAGCGAAATGATCCACCAAATTATCCAGCATATTTACAAAGCGGATGCCCTTCCAGCTGCAACCAATCACTGGGAAACACCCAAACACTTCCATTCAAACACATACACTACGGACAATTTAGCTTAGCCAATTCATCTATACTGCATGTCTTTGGACTTGTAGGGGGAAACCGGACAACCTGGAGGAAACCCAAGGGAACACGGGGAGAACATGCAAACTCCACACAGAAATGCTAACTGGCCCAGGCGAGGCTCGAACCAGCGACCTTCTTGCTGTGCTGCACCCCCATGCAGCCCCTTATTAAATACATAAATATTTATTAATTCATTTACAATTATTTGTATTTATATAGCATCCAGATCATGATGTATTGTGAAAACAACACTTCAGGCATGTGCATCATCTTGTGCTAACAACTCCCCTTAGTCATGACAATATTGACATTATAGCACAAACTCCATACATTATTGATAAACTTCCATAACAAACTTTAATCTCACTTCAGTCACTACTTGATTGAATCCCCATCAAGATAAAGCAAACAAAACAAAACTCACAGCATAAATCCATCTCTATCGTTTTCTTAATGGGATAGTTATAAAAATAATGCTGTAAATAATGTTCATTCTTCCACAGACCATTTCATTTCATAAGTCTTGATGAATGTATAGTCAGGAGCCATGGTAATAGTTTCTTTCACTCACAGAGCACCAGTAGCCACTGACAGTTTGGCATTTTATCTACTTCAGTGTTTTAATAATGAAAAAGGTCACCTACAGTACATCTCGTTCGATCTAAGATTGTGCAAACTAATAGCAAATTTAAATTTAATCTTTAAGATGGAAAGCAGCACTTGCCTGTAAAACGAAAGGTTAAATTATAAAAGCCACTAATGTGAATGCCAGCATCTAAACCCAGCAGATGAGACAGCAAATTACTCATCAAGGCCTGAAGTGTCAAATAACTAACAGTGAGTCACAACCAACCTTGCACAAACATATAGGCATGGGCTGGTATACGATTCTGACAGTATGATAACCTTGGATGTCAAAATATCACGGTATTGTGATTACTGCTCTTAAACATGTTCTTTTTAAAAGTCAGGGTAGAAAACAAATCAAATTCCTCCTTATTGAACACAATACATTTTATTTTCGGAAACATTTAAACTAGTCTGGAACAGTAAACATTCATTCATTTTTCTTTATCTTAGTCCCTTTATTTATCAGGGGTCGCCACAGCAAAATGAACCGCCAACTAATCCAGCATATGTTTTAAACAGCGGATGCCCTTCCAGCTGCAACCCAGCACTGGGAAAAGAACAGTAAACATGTCAGGCTAAAACATTAAAATAAATCATTGACTTCTGCTGTCTTCATTAGTTTCACAACCCAGATTTCTTTACAACTTGAAAAGGCATCACTGGATATCCTTCTTTTCGGTGGATATAAAGTGAGCCACTGAACAGTTCGGGTCCGGAGCATGCTTGGATGTTGGTGTACAAGAGATTTGTTTTTTAAATGTTTGCTGAATCATGGCCTCACCAGTGGCTTTTGATGAGGGCTCTTTTCTACTCGAGATACTGTTGCCCTAAAAAACTAGCTGTATTAAACTAGAAGTAAACAATATAGTTGTAAAAAACAGACTAAAAACGTACATATACCTTAAGAACGGACATTTTAGCAGTTTTAAAACCTTGACTTTTCCAAACTGTAGTAAACATGAGTCTGATTCAGCGACGCTCCAGGGACAGACGAGTCTTCGCTGAGGCCAGCTTCCAGCCTCCACTGCGGTGCTGAAGCTCTGCACAAGACTTTTGGCCAGCGGAGAAATTAAAATGGTCGTGACCAACTGAGTCTGGTTCGCTCAAGGTTTTTTTTTTCTTCTCTCTCCTATCAGGTGAAGGTTTTTTCCCTCTCCGCTGTCGCCACTGGCTCGCATGGTTCAGGATTGGTAGAGCTACGCATCAATGAATTTGCTCTTCAGTGTTTGAACTCTCAGTTATGATTTTAAATCACACTGAACTGAGCTAAACTGAACTGAACTGAACTTAAACACTAAAAACTGAACTACACTGTTCCAGTGGTACTATGACCATTTATGTGAAGCTGCTTTGACACAATCTACATTGTAAAAGCGCTATCCAAATAAAGCTGAATTGAATAAACCCTTAAAAACAAATTATCATCCCTACATTTCCAATATACAACAAGCTATCTCTTCAAAAAATCATCTCAGATTTAAAAACACAAGCTTACCTTCTGCTCTGGGATGCTGTTCATCCTCACAATGTCGCTCTGCTCCGATACCTTCCTCTTCTCCTGTTCTTCTTCTTCTTTGGCCTGGTTTAAGTGAACATCAGGCGAATCCACACATTCCTCTTCCGTAATTTCCCTATTAGTTAAATCAACGCTATCTCCATTCAGCAGTCCCTGTTTGTTAATCCTCGCGATCGGAACAGGGGCATGTGTTACTCCTTCCATGTCCCTTTCCTTGTCCCTGTCTCTGTTCATTTTGGCTAGCACCCCATTGGGGGGTTTCAAAGCATGGTGCGGGCTGGAGTCTGAAGTCTGCTCCCTCGGTCTCTGGTAGTTTTTGCGAGGCGGGCTGCAGTTTGGAGATCTGCTGACCTGCTTCGGTGGAGTTCCCTCCCTCCGACCGTCTGTGTGACTGAGAGAAAGAGAGACACACAGTACAGAAAGGTGACCTTCTGTAGACTACAAAAAACTTCTGATGATGTGTTATGCATGGGAGTGCGATGGTGTTGAAAATGAAGCGTTCAACAAACTTCCTCTGTCTGCATGTGTGTGTTTGGTGTGAATGTGCCGGTCATGGGAGGAGTGGAGGAAAAGAGGAGGATGGGAGGAACGGGGAGGGTGAGGAGAGGTAGAAATCGGCTGCAGAGCGTCCCGTGAGACACGATTGCCCTACTTCAGAATACATGCCAACATGCAAGCACATACATTTAGGCACTCCGGAGAGAGGGAGACGACGACGGTGTTCTCTTACGAACAAAATGCTTTCAGGAACAGTGGACGCAAATGATCAAATATGCAAGAGATCGTGAACAGTGCATCCAGACAGTCTAGTCATACTTTTGTGAGCCTGAAGGGGATTATTTGGTGGTTTTGTGACTGTGCTGCTGACTGTACACGATGCCACTTATTACATGACTACCTACTTGATGAATAAATCAATGGACATGAAATATTGATCTGAGCTGAAATTATTTTACTACTGTATGTGACCTGCTCCACCGACTTGAGATGGTTTATGTTCAACCCAGGCTCATTCTGATTACGTACCGCTATATACATTTCTGGAGAAAGCAAAATATATCCCAGCAGCTATGTTTTTTTGCAGTTTTTGTTTTAGCGAATCTACCAGAGGCCGCTGTGTACGCCTTTTCAGATCTCAAATTTCTTTTCCCGAGTGGCATTTGTACCTGCTGTTCTCGCGTAAATCCACCAGAGGCTGCTATTAACTGACTGATTTACTGACTGACCAACCGACTGATCCCCTCACCCACCTCCTTCCATAAACCCAACTAATAACCACCTTATTTTTATCACGTTTTCAGATTTTACCACACCCTATTAAACTCATTCTGTTATTTACTTGTTTGTTTTTGACTTTTGTTTTTGTCTTACCCGCTTTCTGGAATTGTTCTACACCGAACTCAGACCACGTTTTTGCGGTCAGCGATGTACATGTTGAGCTACCGGAAATAACTGGTAACAGCGGAAAAGCTGTCCATACGTAATCAAGAAAAGGAATGGCATCGTACTGCCCCGTAGCATTCGTTTTAAAGATGAAATGCAGCCATACGTAGCTCTGGCTACATAATTTGCAATCTCCAGAAATGTATATAGGGCTACATTTTCAGAATGAGCCTGTTTGTTGCATTTTATGCACTTGATAAAAAGGGGAAAAAAAATCTACAAATGAATACAAATCAGCTAATTAAGGATATGAGTTTATTTGTATAGAAACAAGTGTGATTGAATAAGAATTGTAGTTTTTAAGTTTGTTTTTAATTTAAGATTTAGATTTTTAGAAGTGTTTCATTTTAATTTGTTAGTTTAGGTCATTTTTTAAGAGTTTTTAATATTTTAAGTATTATTATTAATGAATTACTGTTCATTTTTATTTAATTTGAATATAATTTTTGTTATTTTATATTATCTAAATGAAATATTATGTATTTTTTGTGACAAAAATTAGCTAGCTATATTAATCTTAATTTAAATTTGTTATTTATATTTTGATGAAAGTCAAAATATTATTAGAAATAATAACTTGTTCACACAACATTAAAGAGGATCCAAGCAGTATTTATTGTTTAACTTTTGCAAACAAAATAAAATTAGTAAATCTATTTGAACATATTTAAATAAATTAATAATAATTGATTACTGTTTATTTTGCTTTCATTTGAACATCGTTTTAGTTATTTTACATCACTTAAATGAAATATTACATTTTTTTTGTCACAAAAAGTTTTGGCTAAATAAAATTACTTCGACGTAGGCTTGACTTTGACCAAAACATAAATGTAAATAGAAAGAATTAGACAACTTGTTCACACACGATTAATGAGGATCAAAACAATTTTGCTTAACTTTTGAAAACAAAATGAAATTAGTCAATATATTTGAACATATTTAAATTAACTAATAATAGATACTGCTACCAATAATAACAATTTGTTTTTCAAAACTAATTTGGTAAAAAAATTATAAAATCAAGTCTCTAAAAGCACCTAATGGTATAGTCTAACCCATTATGATAGAGCATGTCACATAAAGCAACTGACTAATCAAAATAAAGCATTCAAGTATACTTTATTTAACTTAAGATCAACAAACAACAGGGATGCACAATACAGAAAGTGACAATACTGAGAACACAAAATGTTCTGTGCTATAGCCAACTGAGATTTGTACAATTTATACAACATTCAATACTATTCAAAAAAAATAGTATCCATATTGTTTCTTTGGTTACACTTTATTTTGTTGGTCCATTTGTTGAATTTGAGTTACATTGCATCTACATGCCAACTAATTCTCATTAGATTACAAGTAGACTGTAAGGTTGGGATTAGGGTTAGGGTTAGTGTAAGTTGACATGTACTTGCAAAATTTCTTATAGTCAGTAAAATATCTGTTGAAGAAGCAGTATCAAAAGATATTAAGCAGACAAATGGACCATCAAAATAAAGTGTAAACATTTCTTTTAAAAGCGTTTTACATTCAAATCAGGCATCATACTGTATATATTAAATTATACAAAAATCTAGATATATTAGTATACAAAAGATTATACGATAACAATAGCTACATAAAATATACCATCAATATTGTCACGGATATATTGTGCATCCCTAAAAATAAACTCAAATAAATCAAAACTCCAGATACTGGAAGTCCACAACAAAAACATGGCCCATTCATAACTTCACATAAGCATGCATAACTTGAACAAAACCAAGCCACAATGTAAGACTTTGTAGTTCATGTGCACAAGCACACAAAAACACAAACACACACACAGATATCCTGCACCTCCAGCTGTTTCCCTGTCTACGGCCCACCTGCCCTCTAGATCAGATAGCATTTCCTGTGAGATAGAGAACGGAGATGTGGATCTGAGGTTTGGAGCACCACAATAAACACTCCAGATTATTACACATGGCTATTAATACACCATTGAGCGCTGAGACGGATTAATATGTGCTGTATAATATACGGATTAATATGTGCTGTGCTGTGTAACCAGTGCATGACTCAAGCGTCTAACAAAAGCTGGGTATTTCTGAAATCCGGTATGATAAAAAATAGGCAAAATTAAGCGATCGAGTGCCGCAGCCACACAAGTAGGGCAGTGTGGATTTCATTGTTTTTTCCCATGAGCTTGTAAACCAAGCCTCTGCAGTTGTCCGGGGTCATGGCTTTTCAGAAGTACGTGTTGGACCAGGCCAGACAGCTGCAGGAGTTATCAGAGCTCACTTTACTCCATCAGGCTTCACTCCACAGCTTACCGGATGAATTCAAACCCACACACACACACACACGTAACAATGGCACAAGACTGGGAGGCAAAACAGGATAAGGGCTCGAAGGGATTTATTTGTGAGGAACTGGGGTTAATGGTCAGTCCATTCTGTTATGGTGGTCTTATGGTTTTATACGAGCGTACGCAGTGACCTGAATGCACCAATGCTGAGCTATGGATAGACTGATGACTGTAGTGAATATTGCAGTATTAAGGCACATTATATGCAGCACATTAAACCAATTATTAACAAGGTTAAGGGGTGTTACTATGGCTCAGAACCAATGTAATCAAGCATATAGTAAACACTGTTATGCACAGTAATGAATTAAAGGGGCTACACATAAGAACTGTCATGTTTTAAATGCTGTCTTTAATCTTAAGGCCATTTATGTAACTAGGGTTGTGCGATTAATCGAAATGGAATCGCAGATCGCAATTTAAAATGTTGCAATTAGTTAAATCGCAAGAGGGTGCAATATAAAATATACGTGTATTATTTAATTTACCCCCACCTGAGTAAATGTGTCTTACTAGCCAATTGATTGAGCACACTTTTGTTCTGCAAAATCAGAATTGCACAAAAAAGAAAACAGACAGGAAATCGCGGACAAGTGGGATTATGGCATCTGCTGCTTCAGAAGCAATAACAGCCAAATTCATATTAAAGAAAAACAGCATTGGTGATATGAAAATATTTTGGCTTTAAAGTCACAGACAACGAAAAAAACAGGTCATTTTTAAGAGCTGTCGCAGAATTGTTGCCACGGCTTACAAATTATTGAGCTCAATCTTGACTGCTAAATTAAATCTTTAATCAAAAACGTAACATTTGTTAAAAAATTAATTAATTAAAAAAATTAAAAATTAAATAAAAATCGCAATTAGATATTTTCTCCAAATTGCACAGCAGCCCTATATACAACTATCACAATGTAATTTTCTCCTTATTAAACAGTAATGTTTTAAAAATAATATTTGACATTTGTCATGAAAATGATCAATATCGACTGATAAGAAAAAAGTTGTTAATTAAGACATTTGAAATATTATTTTATTATTTTTGTGCATGGTGTCAAATAAAATACTATAATCAAACTGTCATCAATTTTAATGTATTATTAATTGAATTCTTAATTGCTGAGAATTTTCAGATTTTGTGCCACTTTCTTAACTGATGTTTTCTCAAGGCTGTTATATTTGTTGTTTATTTTGTTATTAAGAGAAAAATATCACAGATACATATTTCATAAAAAACCTATTAATCTAAGAAGTCACTTTTAGCAGCATTGATGGAATTTGGATGTTCGAAAACAGGATATCGCTGAAGATACTCAGTTTACTTCTAATCAAAGAATGAAATAGAAATTCCTTTGTTAGTATATCCGAGCATTGACATTCAATGACATTCACTCTCTTTCATGCTAGTAGGGTTAGGCTCACAATTTCCGAGAGGGTGCTCGCTGCAGAGCCATTTGAGCAGAGCTGAGCTCCAGCGAGGGGGAGCATGAGCTCTCGCTCCTCCTCCTGTAAGCTGTTTTAATGCGTACCCCCCCCCCCCCCCCCCCTCTAACCCTACCCCCAGTGACATCACTCGTAGAAGAAGTGCAAAAAAGGTGGAGCTCAAGCTCAAGCTCCCCCTCGCTGGAGCTCAGCTCGCCCAAATGGCTCTGCAGCGAGCACCACTTGCAATTTCCAGCACAAATAATTGCAGTTTACTTAATGGCCGCCAGTGTCACAAAAACAAGGGTTTCTGATTTACATATATTAAATGGTAACATTGCTAAATAAAACAGAAGCAAAAGCAACATCACTAGAGACATTAAAGGTATCGTTCACCCGAAAATAATAATTTACTAGTTATTTAATTAACTCTGACTCAAGTATTTCCAAACCTTTATGAGTTTTCTTTCTTCTGTTAAACAAAAAAGAAGGTGAAAAATGGTAACCATTGACTCCATAGTAGGAAAAACAAATAACATTTTTTTCATCTTTCTTCAAAATATCTTCTTTATGTTCAACAGAAGAAACTCTTAAAGGTTAAAAACAAGTAAAGGGTGAGTAAATTATGACAGAATTTTAATTTTAGGGTGAACAATGCCTTTAATATTTCATGTATAATGCATATTAACGATAATTGTTGATTGTACAAAATTTTAACTTAAACATAAAGCATAAGAAAGGATCTGAAAATGTCATTGCTGACACTTTATCTAGAGCTTAATGTTGCTTTATGTTTAGTCTTAAGAGGGTGAGTGTAACGTTCCCTCGCAGAACGTATTTTGGATAAGTGTATGCGTTCGTTTGTATGTGGGTGTGTCGTTTCATGCATGTGTTACAGGTACGAACGGCATTGGAGGATCCGCATTTCGTGCTGATGACGTTGGCCGCTGACGCTGGGTTTGCGCCACCAATCGCTGGTTGGCGTAGCGTTTAAAAGCCGAGCCCAAACTGCAATGGCGATCTCTCTCTCTTTCTCTGTCTCTTTCCTTCTCGCCACTTCTCGCTCTTATTCTTTCTGTGGGTCTCTGTGAGGACAGTCTCTCTTGCGAGGGCTAGTCTGAGAGAATGTGTTTTGCTTGTTTAATGCTCTTGTCTAAAGTTTGCGATTTATCAATGTTTGTGAAATTGTCCAGTTAACTGACATGTTTGAGTGATGCCTCGGAGAGGTGTAGGAGTGAGTAAGTCGCGCGATATACATATACAACACTCAGATTGATATTTTGTATTAGTTCATTAGGTTCAGGAGAATGTGCTGTTTTCTGTATGTTTTGTTTTTAGTTAGAGCAGTTTAGTTAAGACGTTTGGTACGTTGAAGATGTTTCTTTTCATGCTTTTCTTTTCATATTTAGTTTAGTTTGGTGAAAACAGTTACTGAGTTTTGTTATATTTATTTCTTTGATTTAAGCACATTCAACTACTTCCTCTCCCCCCAGGTAATTCATTATTTAATCATTGTAAATATTTTTCTTTCACTGTATAATATATTTTCACTGGTTTTCATGGGATATATGGGCAATAAATAATTGCAGTGATTATTTGATTCAGTTTATTTCTTTCTCCATCCGCTTGTCACACACATTAAACTAATGTATGTTATTGTCATCTACTCCTAGTTTAATATTAACATCTAAAAGGACGTAACAATCACAATAAACAATCTTTCTGCTTACGATATAAGTTGCCATACATGTTGGCATCAAATGGTTAACAAGCAAACTGCTGTAATGATTAATGACAAAGACTCTAGAATAAACAAGACATGTCCCTCGTATACAGTGTAACAGTCAATATGGTGAATAAAGCCTGCCTTCTAGTACAGGAGCCAATCAGCGATCGTTATAGAATGACAATTCTCCGGGGGAGGGGCTCAGACCAGACATGGGTTTCTGCAGATTTCGTGTGGCATGAACGTTTAGAAATGAAACTAAACAGACAGCTGTTGTTTAATTTTATTAGTTATTCGTAATATGGAACTTAATCGTAAGCTTAGCAAAAAGTTTTGGACAATTCGATGTTTTCCCATTCAAACAGAATGCCCGGGCATACTGCCCGAGAGGCGTTTCAAAGATGGCCGCCGAGTGAAATGACTTGCCTTAAAGAGATTTTGTTAATGATTACTCTTTGAATAATTCATTTAGTGCATGAGTAAATATTCAGAATTCAAAAAACATGCTTACAGTATGTGTTTCAATAATCTAAAAATCCCCAGCAAATGAACTAGCTTACAGTTAACCCATGCTTTTTGTTACTTGAAGAGACTTTCACACAACAAGAGACTACAAAGCAATAACACAGAGTCTCGCCTCAAATGTGAATTTCGAAAATGCTGCATGTTTTTAAAACCAAGATTCAACACACAAACACAACAAGGATGTTTTTTGTATGTGCTTGATTTTGTGAATATGTTTTTAAATCATTCAGGTGATTTTAAAATTGACGTCTATAATTCATGTTGTAGAACAAATCGTCTCTTCAAGTAATGTCAACCACAGACCTTATTTTACTCTTTAGAACCCATTAGAAATTCCAGAGGGAGTCCATGGTGAATTAGCCTTCCAGGTTGGCCTACAAATGACTGAACAGCTCTATTAGCAGTAAACATAATATAGAGTAGGATGTGAGCTATGGCGAGTATAAATCTTGACACTTTGTTGCATTACACCAGTTTTAAGCACTTTCAAAGTAGCCTCAGGTTTCAGGAAAGCAATGATGGCTAGATATAAAAATTGACAAATTAGTCTTACCTCCAGTATTGAAGATTTGTTTTTTTTTTCCCACACAGAAAATATGTTAGACAAGTCCAATTATTTCTACAATGCTTTTGAAACACTGAATGGCCGATTGCATTATAGAGTAACAACTAAGTTCTGCTTTTTGGCCTTCTTGTGTAATGTCAGGGAAGACATTACAAAAATGTATTCATTTTACACAGCTGACTATATGTTACAACATTTCTCCTAATATCATACAGGAGTGTTTGTAAATGTGTGTGAGCAAAAGATAATTTTTGTAAAACTTTCTAAATAGTTTGCAAAAATGCTTTTTCATACATGTAATATTTATTTTTAGACAACACAATATGATTGTTTTTATTTAAAAAATCAATATTTGGAAAAATCACAACGTGGTCCATTATTCATTTATTATTCTTTGGCTTAGTCTCTATTCCAGCATATGTTTTAAGCAGCAGATGCCCTTCTAGCCGCAACCCAGTGCTGGGAAACACCCACACACATTCAAACACACACTCATACACTATGGCCAATTTCATTCATCAATTCATTTTTCTTCTGATTAGTCCCGTCATTCATCAGGGGTCGCCACAGCGGAATGAACCACCAACTTATCCAGCATATGTTTTACACAGCGGTTGCCCTTAGAGCTGCAACCCTGTACTGGGAAACATCCATAATAACTCATTCACACACATACACTATGTACGAATTTACTTTATTCAATTCACCTATAGCGCATGAGTTTAGACTGTCAGGGAAACCAAGATGGGGAGAACATGCTAACTCCATACAGAAACCCCTTCTGGCCAAGCCGGTACTTCTAATCACTTCAAGTCACTGTGCCACCCATAATGGTCCATTAGTAAATGTTTATTAAGGTATTTAATAATTTTAACTAAGTATGAATAATCTTGTAAAACATTTAATAATGCATTATTCAAATCCAAAGTTAACTATGTTAAGGTAAGTCCTGCAAATTTTACATAAATTAAATGAACATTAAAATGAAATTAAAATGAAAACCAGATAAACTATTGTCATTTTATTATCAATTTTGGAAATAGTGCTTTAATAATGAAATTGTTAATCTGGTTTTCATTTTAATATCCAGTGTTTATTTGATTTATGTAAAATTGGCAGGAATTACCTTCCATAGTTAACATTAGTTAATGCACAGTGAGTTAATATGAACTAACTTGAACAAACTAGCTTAAATTTAGCTTAAATAACGTTAACAAATGCTAACACAGATTAATAAATATAATAAATGTACTGCTAATTGTTTATGTTAGCAAATGAATTAACTAACAATAAAATAATGGATATATATATACAGTTGAAGTCAGAATTATTAGCCCAATTTAGAATTTTCTTTTTTAAATATTTCCCAAATGATGTTTAACAGAGTAAGGAAATTTTTACAGTATGTCTGATAATATTTTTTCTTCTAGAGAAAGTCTTATTTTTTTTTATTTCGGCAAAAATAAATGTCTACTGAATAGACCATCATTATACAATAACTTGCCTTATTGCCCTAACCTTTAAATGTCACTTTAAGCTGTATAGAAGTGCCTTAAACATATCTAGTCAAAAATTATTTACTGTCATCATTGCGAAGACAAAATAAATCAAATTATTAGAAATGAATTATTAAAACTATCATGTTTAGAAATGTGTTGAAAGAATCTGCTCTCTTTTGAACAGAAATTGGGGGAAAACTGAGCAGGGGGAGGAATACTGATTTTGACTTCAACTGTATATATTATATGTCATAAATGGCATTAAAGTTGTTTCTTACTCTATTTTGAAAGACTCTAATGCTTTCTGAAGGATGTGCTGTCTTCTGAAAATACATGAATAAAAATAAGTTTAAAGCTTATTAAAACAGATATATAACATTAAAAAGATAATTTTTATTTTTTTAAATGTCATTTTAAAATCTAATGTTTTACAACATTTCAGCTCTTACACTATATCTGATCAAACAAATTCAATCTACATATATATCAACATATGTCTAACACTGATCATGAACCAGACACGCTAATCCACAGTGACCTGCAAAACATCCTTTCTCAGTACCCGACCAATGATTTTACACCATAGAACGCCAGTATATCCCCCATATCCATGAGCAGAGGAAAAGATCTTAAGTTTACCGGTTCTCCTCAAAGCGACTGATGAGGTTGGACACCCTGCCCTTCCCTATGGCTCCGTCTAATCCTCCCTCCTGCATGCTGGGCTTGACAGTTAATGATCCAGCAGCCAGAGGAAAGGAGACGTCCGTCACCGGAGTCTGAAGATGCGGTGGCTTCGGAGGCACTGCAGAAAATCATAAAGACACCAGATATTATATTTACCTTTAATGCAAACAGATGCATGTTCACTGCAAAAATATGTTTATACAATCAGTCTGAGTGCAGTCAGTTTCCATGCAAATACACTGCAGTGGCATACTGTAATCAGCAAAAACTTAAACTGAAAAACACAAGAACCATAAGCAGGAGGCTATGGACAAACCAGCCTTCAGCTTTCACTAAATTTAAATCTCAATCCCTAAACTGAATAGAAGTGTCAAACACTACATAAATAAGTAAAAAAAAACAAAAAAAAACAATAATAGTGATTTTCTTAAGGAAGAATAGTTTTTATACCATATCAAGATCGAATGAAGTTCACCTAAAAGGGGTTCTTTCACCTAAAAAATGTCATCATTTACTCTCCATTTACTAGTCACCTCAGTTTGAGTTTCTTTTTTTCTGTCCTTACACAAATTAAGACATTTTGAAAAATTTGTTTACCTACTATGGGTTTCTAACATTATTTATTATCTACTTTTATCTACAATATAGTACAAGAAATTCCTAAAAGTTTGGAACAACTTGAAGGTAAGTGAACAGTGAGTACATTTAAATTTTTGGGTTAACTATCCCTTTAAGGAAAAATCAGCACTGAGCTTTCACTTCATTAGAAATGACAGTCCAAAATACAGCGATATATCATTCATTCATTTTCCTTCAGCTTAGTTCCTTATTTATCAGGAGTCACCACAACAGAATGAACCGCCAACTATTCCAACATATGCTATTCATCTCAGATGCAGAAAAGCTAGTTCATGCTTTTATGACTACTAGGCTGGATTACTGTAATGCTTTGTTTGCTGGCTGCCCAGCATCCTCTATTAATAAACTTCAGCTAGTACAAAATGCAGCTGCCAAAGTTCTTACCAGGTCTAGAAAATATGATCACATCACACAGATTTTATCGTCCTTACACTGGCTGCCTGTTAAGTTTATTATTAATTTTAAAATATTACTTCCTACATATAAAGCTTTAAATAATCTAGCTCCTGTTTATCTAACCAACCTTCTGTCCCACTACAATCCAACTCGCTCTAGAAGATCTCAAAACTCAGAGCTTCTGGTAGTACCTATAATAGCAAAGTCGAGTAAAGGAGATCGAGCCTTCTCATTTATGGCTCCTAAACTCTGGAATAGCCTTCCTGATATTGTCCGAGGCTCAGACACACTTTCGCAGTTCAAAATTAGATTAAAAACCTATTTTTATAGCAAAGCGTACACTCAATGCATCACATGATGCATGAATGTGCTCCACACAGGTGTTTGCATTTTGTTTATATACTCTATGAACAGCAGCTACGCTTATTATTCTCTTTAGTCTCTATTTGTACCTGGGGATACTCATCCCGAGGCCCCCAGAGATTAAGCACTGCCACTGAAGTGATTCAAGACCTGTGAAGAGATGATCCCAAGGTTTCCACATTCCTGGACCATGCTGTTGCAGCTGCTGTGGTGGTCATGGAGGAGAAGAGAGCCTGAGAATGATTCCTGTGAGACTCCAGGGACTGCCGAGTCTTTGCTGACTTCCTGCGTTCTCCAGCCTCCAGTGCCTAGACTGCATCTCTCCACAAAACATTTTGCCATATGAGAAATGGTTGTGCTAACTTAGCCAGGTTTCTCCAGAGTTTTTTTTTTATTCTTCACTTTCGCTCATTGGTGAAGTTTTTTTTTTCTCGCCACTGTCGCCACTGGCTTGCATAGTTCGGGACTTGTTGAGCTGCGCATCAATGGATCACTCTTCAGTGTTTGGACTCCCAGGAGTGAATATTAAAACACATTGAACTAAACTGAGCTAAACTGAACTAAACCTAAACTCTAAAAAATGAACTATACTGTTTAAATTTACTATAATCTTCTATGTGAAGCTGCTTTGACACAATCTACATTGTAAAAGCGCTGTCCAAATAAAGATGAATTTAATTGAATGTTTTCCACAACAGATGCCCTTCCAGCCGCAACATTCACTAAAGGACACTTTTCTTTACCTAACTCACCTATAGAACATGTCTTTGGACTGTGGGGGAAATCGGAGTACCCGAGGAAACCCACTCGAACATGAGAAGAACATGCAAACTCCACACAGAAATGCTAACTGGTCCAAGCAGAGCAGCTGGGACTCAAACCAACAACCTTCTTGGTGTGCTAAACACTGAGCCACTTTGCCACCCTAAACACAGTGACGTGTAAACCAAAATGCATAAATGAGTGAAAACCAATAATAATGAAGATGTAATGAGGAAGCACTACGCTTATTGTCATTAATCCTTTATTGTTTTTGTATTCCTGAAAGTATTGCTTCTACTGTTCGTATGAATGCTAGCATTCTAGAAGCAGTAACTGTAGCCACCACAAGATGGCAGTGCAGTTTTGGAATGTTGAGATAGATAGAACCAGATTAAAAAAAAAAAAAACTCAACAAGGTGAGATGAAGTTTATCTGAAAGACGAGGAGTCTGTCTCCACCTGCGGTGAGCGAATCAAAGCTAATCTCTGTCGATCTGGTGGAGATATGGCAGAAGCCATGGCTCCATTCAGTCTGTCCTGATATAAATATAGTGGCCCTGACCATTTCACACATCTCTAATTCAGCAAGTGTGGTCTTTGAGGTTGATGTCAGTTTATGTTTTGCTTCTAATTTCACATGAGAAAATAGAGAAGCAATATTTTGTGCTAAGAAGGAAGCAGCTTTTAACCAAACTGTACAGTGTGTCTACGGGCTCTTAAAAAGTCTTAAAATTCTCTGAAATATTGTGTTGTAGGTCTTAAATGATTTTTAACAGGTCTCAATTTTCCTTTGTCCATGTAAAGCTACCCAATAAGGCAAACATTTATCCAATCACCAACAATACATCTCAATAAAACTTAACAAATGTTGCATTTGTTGACACTATATACCAATATTGTTACATGATCTCATACATGAAAAGCTATCTGGTGAGGATACTGACCTGGACAGTCTGTTGTGCATAATTTTAATTTATCATTTAGAAAACTTGTCTTTTAAAAAAAAATGTTACGCTGAAAAAATTTATTATGCACATAACTAGAGTTTACTTGTTTTGATCCATTACTTGAAATATGTGGCTAGGAAATAACTAAATTACAATTTTGTAACGGGACAAGTAAAAATCCTTAGCGTGTAGCCATGTATAAGTCTGCAATTTAATTCACAATAGTCTTAAGTAGGTTTTAAATTTGACTTTGTGAAACCAGCAAAAACCATGCTGGTATTTGCAGTCAAAGTTATGAACACTATTTATATAAACATGGGGCACAAACATATTGACTATAACCATGTTTGCAAGAGGATCTCAATTTATTCTACTAACCCTGACCCATACCTTGACCTAACACTCTACTAATCTATTACTAATCTAATCCTAAATACTAATTACTTAATACTAATCTAATATATTTTTCTTTCCTATCCTTTTTCCTGTATTAAGCCTTAGTTGACATGCATTGTTTAAGTAAATCAAGAGGCTCACTTATTTAAAATCTGTTAAAACTCTGTTAGTGAAGTTCATTTGAATTAGTGTGATTACTGTCATTTGAATTTAGGTGTGCACAAAACAAGCAGGCCAAGAGCAGAATCCTGATGTGGTTCGACTGAAATGTGAATGTAAAATGCTAAAGACATCCAAGCAAAAACCAAAAACAGGACACAAGATGCTATAGTTTATATTCCAATAGCTGTAATGTTTCCCATTACATTTCTGTACAGATGTTGAAAACATGCCCCCTTGAAGCAAATCTGTGTTTGTTTGTGTGTGATGGAGGAATTACTGACAATGTTTTGGCTTCTTTACACAATTTATAAGCTCTTGACAAGTCCTTGGCTGGAAAAAATAGCCTCAAATCATGAGCATATTTAGTCCAGCACAAAGCATTTTTTGAAAGTTTGGTAAATTCTGCCAAATCAAAATGCCCCCTAGGTTTTCTAAATATCTTTAAGATGCCATGTTATCCTATGTCACGCTATGTGAACCAAGAGGGACAGTATCTAGCAGGTTTTAGCTCCAACTTGCCTCAACACCCCTGCATGGATATATGTAGTAAGCCTAGTAAAAGCTTGATAACCAAGCTCAGGTGTGTCTGATTGGGGTTGGAACTAAACTTTGCAGGACACCGGCCCCTCAGGACCAAGTTTGGGCAAGTGTATCTGTCTGCTGACTGCAAGACAGAGGCGTAAGATGAAAGGGCGTAACTTGTAGTATGTTAGAGGCATAACTTGATGTTATCGTCATCCCATTGAACCAACGAGATGTTGTTGGCAAGATGGTGGAAATACCTACCAAAGAACATTTTCAACAGATTTTTTAATGAGATTTCTCCAAACTTATCCACAACCAAGTCATTTGATATATTATTATATTCATCTATTTAGCAACTCATGCAACTCGGTTGTTGCTAGATCGGATATTGTTGTGGCCGGAAGTTAACGAGAATTATTTATATTATTTATTAAATTTCCGATTTTTTGTATTTTATTAACCATAAACCCAACGGTCACAGTAACGTAAACACAGTAATTGTAGCGAGTATTATTTATGCTATCTATTAAATTACCCAATAAATTGTATTTTTAATGCCTACCCAACCCAACCGTCACAGTACTATAAAAATATGAATTATTGTTATAGAGTGTCATAAAAAATGCTACTATAATTGATGTACATATCACACTTCCGGCCAGCCACGTATCTGATCTAGACTTTACCATGCAACTCCACTTGCTGACTTCTTCATCTATTTAATCATGACAGTTAGCCTACTCGACGTCTCCGCCTGTGGTTGCAAATAAAAGTACAATGGCGAGCGAGTCAAGTATGAAAGCCACTTAACTCATAGATGTACATTAATAACTATTATGATTGGGTTTAGACTTAGGGTAGATGTAGATGTTAATAACTATGATGATTGGGTTAAGGCTTAGGGTAGGTGTACATGTTAATAACTAGGA